GAGGTAGAAACATCAATGATGAGAGTGTATCACTGATCAGCTGCCTCCTGCACACCCCACACTGGGGATGGAGCCCACAACCTGGCTCATAGGTCGAAGCTCAACCACTGTGCCATGCCGGCCAGGCTGGGATTTATTACTTTAGATGAGAAAGTCAGGGAAGTCTGAAGTGAGACCCTTGTATACAATGCATACATCATCCACACAGACCCTGAGGCCTCCAATGATGATGGTTGGGGTGAGAAAAGACTGCAACAACTTCCACTACCCTCAATGGATGGAAAAGAATGACCAGGAATATCCCCAAATTGTATTTGTACCTAACCCCTGGACTCTAGTTCTCATAAAAATCACCGCCACATTTATCATTGCAGGTCAGTGTTATAGTTACATCTTTATACAAAATAGCCAAGAGGGGCATGGACTAGAAGCTGAAAGCAATGGATACTGCCCCCATCCATCTCACAGAACGATCACATTCAGCAGACAGGAAGCAAGTTAACCTAGAAGAAGGTACTTGAAGAAGTTACAGTTCAAATGTAAAAATGTGAAGCTATTTAGTAGGCTTTGTACACACTTTTCTAGCATATAAAAAATAAAATAGCTAGAAAATAGCAAAATGTGTTGGCAGTCTCTTATACTTCACAAACACGAAATAACTGAGCAGAGTGAAGAACAATTAGAAAACTTCATAAGTGACCACCTTTTTTTTTTTTTTCCAAACAAATAAGTGCTTAACTATCTGGATCATATACCATAAACAAATAAAACTCTTCACATTTAAAAGGTTTATTTTAGTCACTGAAATTTCTGTATTTCTCCCCAAAGAGCCAAGCATAGTCAACACTTTGTTCTGACAACTTATCTGAGCTAAAGTAACCGAGGCATGAAGCAGAACTAAAACTACACGGTTTAAACTCAATTTATGCACAAGAACCATTCATGAATTGCTGTGGCTTTCGACTTTTCCAACTCTTTCTATACACATCTATGTATACTTAATTGGAACTTTTGCTCCCAAAGTTCAAAAGGTTTTCTGTGTGGTAATTTTACATTGGGGCAGATTAACTGTATTTCTGAACTTTCACATTTTAGGTATTATTATTATTATTATTTTAAAAACAAATAAAATTGTAAAAAATAAGATTCAAAAATTTTCCAGAAGTCATAGTATAGCTATTGTTAACTGCTCCAGGAGGAATGGACCCACTCGGGGGACATGCCATGCCATTTATTGCGGACCAAAGGTGAGAAAGGAACTTGGAAAGTTCTGTAATAGTATCACAGTTATGAAGTTGACACTTACTGGCTCCCATCACCATGTCACCAAAAACATTGTATCCACTTAAAACTATGACACAAAATAGCAATGTTCTCTCATCCTTCAATGGGGCTTAACCATTTGTTTCTCCAACAATTATTTATTTGGCCCCTTCATTTTGGCCATGTACTGTGTCAAACACTGAGGCTCCAAAGATCAAAAAGTTCGGGGGCGGAAGGGGGAGTTTTGTGGGGAAAAGACAACAAAAGAATAAACTAAAACCGATAAAATTTTACTTGGGATATCCTTATAGATGATTAGTCTGTCTATATCAAATGTGCAGATTAAACCCACAGAACATAAAATGCTTCATATTTTAATCAGGACCCAGATGCACAATGAATTCAGAGCAAAATGGTCATCCTTAGAACATCTTCTCTCCAAATATGATGACTTCAACAAAATTCCCTTTTCCAACACAACTACCTATCAATGTAACCATCTGAGGCCCTCAACACTTAATTTCCAAAGTGCCTCTCATTTTCTCTCTACAGCAAGCATTAGAAGGCAGTTTCTGAATAAATTCCGGGCTGGTTATGAAAATTAATAAATTCCAGTCAGGGTATTGCAGCCTATTTAAGAACAAGTAAATAAGCATATTTTTCAAATAGGTCTATATTTTTTTCTTCTCCATTCAAGGTCAAACATGTACACACCCTAGAAAAATCCTCTATGTAAACCAAGGAGTTGCAACTAGACTCCAGCTCCAGGCGTTCTGTAGGAGGCCACAGAGCCAAGGAGCTCCAGCTCAGAAATGCTGAGAGGGAGAAAAGCTGCCACACCCCAATGCCTATCTACCTGGTAAGATGCTGACCCAGCCCCGGGTTTTAAGATTCAAATCCTAAGATCACAAAGCAAGTTCCAGAAAACTTCTATCGCTATAATCTGAAGATGACCTTAGAAGTCACTGACTTCCGGTTTATATAATCACAGATCTGGGGCTCTTTTCTGATCTTGGTAAAATTGTAATTTTAAGTTGATTGTTACGTAGAATTCTATCATACATTTAAACATAAGAAAGCAACCTGAAGGTGACAGTCTAACTGATTGGTTTTACAAATGAGAAATTGAGCCCTGGGTAAATTAAATGACTTGCCCGCTAGGTAGGAACTGGCAAATGACAATTCGCATCGTCTGACACTCAGTTCAACACTTGCTCTCCTTATTGGCAACAGATATTGACTCTTATTCAATAGTTAGTTATTGGCTGTTAACCATGTGCAAGACTCCCATGTGCACAAAGCTGAATGCAGTCATCCTCAGACCGACCTGGAATGACCTGCAATGTAGTAGGTTTTAGACAATCGTTTTAGTCTTAATTGATATGCAAATCATCACACAAAAGCTTATACGGAATTCTAGTGGAATATCTGAAATAACTCTCCTCATAGCTCTAATTCTTTATTTCGAACTAAATCAACCTTGTAGCCTGCTTCCCAACCCCAACTACAGAAGGTGGATGTCATGGTGAGAGCATCAGTGAGGAGGAGGAAGAGGAGGAGGAGGAGGAGGAGGAAGAAGAAGAAAAAGACAAGGACAACGATAATACCAATAATGAGACATTTCCTATGTGCCCATCACTGTTCTGGAATCTTGACCCTTAGTTGATTTAATCCTCACAATTTTGTAAAAGGCTTGGAAAGAGTCAATCAAGTGATCTTGAGAAGGTGGCTAAGTGAGGGTTTCCTTATACCCAGGCAGCCTTTACTAGTGCTGCCTCCCAGGCTGCTGACATGGGTCTTCCCTGATTAACTGGAAACTCCAGGCCCTCCAGACCTGTTTCTCCATCTGTGAAATGGTGATGTGGGCCACGTACCCTCCAACGTCTCTTCCAGGGGTAGCATTCTGAGATCTACTGGTCGGAGGTATTTAACCAATCTCTTGTGGCACCGAGGAAGGAAAACACTTTGTACAAGCTAAGGATAATTTTCCCCAAATTACAAAATCCAGACTTTGTGCAGAGGTTTTAGGGTCATGGAGGGTGGGTAGTTAGTGGGTCTGGTATATACATCCTTAACTTTCATCTAGGCTCCAGCCTTACCTTATTTTGAAAGCCACATGTCACAGCCACATGGCAGCGTAACATACAATCATTAACAATGGCATTTAAACAAGAGGTGTTTTACATGGCTAACGATGATTAGTAGTCCCGTGTAAAAATATAGGAGAGTAACATGTGTGGTCCAGGTGAGAAGGAAAAGAGCCGGCTATAATATGTGGGCTGTGGTTTTCCGCTTGTTTCTTAACATGAGGAAAGAAGCAAGAAGAACTTTCAACAGTGGTTGCAACTGGCTAATAGGATCTGGGAGACTTTGCCTGCTCCTTTTTCTTATTTTTCTTTTTTATGAGAGCTCACATTACCTCCCCAATTAGAGGGGAGGCTTTTCTTTATAAAGAGAAAAAAGGTGCCCAATATTCTCACATTGATTTCTTCTGAGAAAGAAGAAAATACTCTCCTACAAACATCTCAGTCACCCTGCTGAAATTCCAGAAATACGGGTTTAGAGAACATCATGATTACTACTGCGGACGGACGGACGGGGAAGAGAAGATTCCTCTACTGCCTCAGGTCTAGAGGAACTAAGTGTTACAGGATGTTTCAGGAAGGCTGGCAGGGGAAGTGGCTTTGGAGTCCAGGGACACAGCTTTGCAGAGCTGGGCCCGGGAAAAAGAACAGGTGCAGCAGACGAAGCAGCCGACCGTGAGAGCCAAATGACGCCAGCCCCATCCAGAAATCCCGGTCTGGAGCAGGTTCTCCCTGAGCGGTCCGCCCTGCGCCACCGCCGGCCACGTGGCCAAGGGGACTTGCCAGGCTCACCCACGTCCTTTCCTCTCTGAAGCCCGAGAGCAGAGGGCGACAGGTAACATCTTTCATGGGATCTGCCGCGGTGAACCACACCAAACGAATCTAGGCTTTCATTCGCCTTCAGGATAAGCCCATCGTACAGGCACATCTGTGTTCATAGAAAAACATGTAATATGTATATACGTATACACATGTGGCCCAGTTCACAACACAGATCAAGGGCCGTGGCTTGGGATGGCAACAATGAAACACCACTTTATAGCACTCTTGAGAACGTTTTGAAAACACATTATTTCTCTGGTGATCCCCACCAATACAGGAAAAAGCTCAGGAAAGAGTACAATTGAAAAATCACATTCAGAATGCTATTAGTTACCTCTGCCTGACTCAACCAGGCTCTCTTGCTGCGGCAGGTAGAGAAAGACGGGTCTGATACACAAAGAACAGGAAAACTAGAACGGGAAAAGTCAGCTGGTCCTCTGGGAGTCTGACAGACAATACGTGGCGTCAACATGGCATCGCACCCTGATCCAGAGGGGGTGTGCGAGGGCGCGGCGGTGCCCAGCAGCTCCAGGCTGGCCCCGAGCACGCCCAGCACACCGGGCTGGGCCAGCACTGCCACCGGCAAGGCAGCACCACCAAGGCCTACGGGGGTCTTCGCGTGTTTGTTCATTTAAAAAGACATATTTTTGTTCACTCATTCAACTGATTTAAAATTGACAAATAATACAGTGTAACTAAAGAGATATCACCTCTTGTTGGTTTCTTTTTTAAGGCTTTTTTTTTCTGTTTCTAAGTGTGAAGTTGGCACCTATTGGCTTTACTTGGCAGTAATTAAATACATCTAACATTAGATAAAGAAATTTAACCTACCTCATCAAAGGTGGTGTCGTCTTTCTTCAAAGCTATAAAATAAAAAAAGGAAAGGAAACAGTTATTGTGAGACATCTCAAAAAAGAGGCCAAGTATCTAAGTTCTAGAAAACAGAGAAAAATACCAAAGCAGTATGGTGTTTTCATTTCAGAAAGTAAAACTGTACCCCAACCTGAATAACAATGTTACGATACAAAGAGGAAAACTGCAAATGGGAGAGAGAATTGCACAGCATGCATCTTTGTGAACACTCTCATACATATGTAAATGAGACTGTCCTCCCAAGTATGGAAAAGAAGTATGCATATCCTTCCCCTACCTCTTCTGTTGTAGGAAAATGTTTAAATGAAAGTATGAAAAAAAAATCAAAAAATAAGATTAAAGAAATTTCCCCTTAAAACTCTGGGTTTTAAGCATATATATTTACGCATGGTTTAGGGACCTCCCAGACCAACTGTTAGGATGACACCCACTCTTCACAGGGCCCTGAATGAGATTTTCATACTGAGAAAAATTTAAGTATGGTGATGAAAGACCAAGCACGTACAATAAGCACTGCAGCTACATAATTCAAACATTTCAACATGAGAAACTGTATAACAAAACATCAACAAAGGAAACAATGCATTCAGAATATTTATAGGAACTAGTGAATACCTGAAATTTATTTTAAATATATATATGGCTTCAGAACTGAAAAAGAGAAAGAGGAGTATTTCATGCATAGTTGGCAAACACCTCGTTCCGTAAATCCTACAATTACTTAGAATGTTTCATATTAAGGTAATGCAGAAAGTAGCTAATTTAAATGAAACCACCCGTTGGGAGAGATGTTTCCAATTTATAGAACTGTGCATAGGCGTTTACTGGTCTACACTGGATAGTTCTCCAGCTAGAAATACTTGGGTAGCTCTTACCTGGAAAGCCATGTTCGGACAAAAGCAATGGAAAGCAAATTATTTTGGCAATTAAGCTCCGAGAGAAGTCATGTGACTAAGCTGAAGTTATCATATCAAAGCTTACATGGTATAGTCTAGCAATCTTTAAAAGATTATTTTTCTGTTTCATACTAAAAATTTGTCTCTTTAAAACATCAGTAAGTATGTGGTTATGGTGGTGCCATTAAGGGGAATGAGGGCAGGTTGAGGGAGATAAAATGTTTCTGAAAGTTTAATTCTTAGCCTTCCCCTTTTGCCTAAGAAACTGATCTGGAATAGATTCCTCTACTTCCTTTAATTTTGAACAATTTCTTCTGAATGGAAAATTAAAAGAAAAGTCCTATTGTCCCAGTCTCAAATGGCTTCTCTCACATTCAATTACACATATTTTATTATGTATTTTGTTAAATTTACATTAAATCTTAAATAACCTATTTTGATCGAAATACATATACAAGATCCTAGGTGTTCTTGATAGCTAGGGTTAGTTCTGAATGGTTAAATTTTAATTTAGAATGTAAAACTTCTCATCTAGAAGGCTTTCTTTAAATACCGGTCAACAATGTTACTAGACTATACCCTTCACTCCCTCAACCCAAAGCATGTCCTTTAATTAACATACATGACTAGTGATTCTGTTATAAAATATTAGTGACCTACATAAATTAAATATAGACAAATGGTTTCATCTAAAAAAAATATTTGGAATAGAAATGATTAGCTCATTGATTTCAAATGCAAAGTCAACTATTGTCCAGCCTCAGACCTAGCACATTTAACGAAGATTAATGGAAATCATTTTGAGGCTGCCAGACAAGATACAAACAGCAGCAAGCTTACAATTCACAGTACAAATTTTTATATGTATTTACTTTGGACATGATAAAAGTTCTGGAAATTTAGCCATGGTTTTTCTTACGCAAAGCATCCAATAAGAACTAGAGTTGAGCCCAGCTGATGTCTCAGTGGTTGAGCGTTGACCCATGAACCAAGAGGTCACGAGTTCAATTCCTGGTCAGGGCACATTCCAGCATTGCAGGCTTCATCCCCAGTAGAAGGTGTGCAGGAGGCAGCTAATAAATGATATTTCTCTCTCATTAATGATTCTATCTCTCTTCCTTCCTCTGTCTCTAAAAATCAATAAAAATATATTTTTTAAAATAATTAGAATTGATACTATCCCTTAGGGAATTGCAAATATGAAATGAAGACCCTGAAGTTGAGAGATGAAGAAAACAGAAAATCAGAATTCTTCAACACCCAGTGTGGACTATTTCCTTCTTGTTCCCTCCCTCCCGCCCTCCCCCCCCCCAATTCCTCCACATTCTGGATAATGATGTGGGGTCTGTAGATAAAAAGAGGAAATAGAAGAGGAAATTCTAAGATATAAGAGCAGGAAGCCAGATTCTCTCCCCTACACATTATTCTTGAGTCCTGGATACTACAAGATACTACAAGGGAGAACCAAGAAGTCTATGGCTTCACTGAAACCCTCTATTGCTAGACTGACACCTTACACGGAAACCTTGCCCTGAACAACAGTTAATAGTAACAACAAAGGCCAATTAAAGGTGTCATTTCCAAATATTTATCAGGTCACTGATGACCTAAACAAGCATACAACATCTCATTATTGATTACATTCCGATTGTCATTAGTCATTCACATAAATGTAAGCCCACAATTGTCTTCATAGATACCATGGAATAATAAGCATATTACATGTTTCTGGGTTAACAGCGGGGCATGTATTAAGCCATTTAATATAATCAGACTTCTATTCATTCTTCTGCTCAGACATTGCTTCCTCTAGAAAGCATTCCATGATCTCACCAAGACTAAAGAGATACCCATCCTATGTTCTCCAACAGCAAATTATGCCAATCTTCAAGGTAGAATTTTTCACTATACACATAGTCTATGCCCCTTCATTGGCCTGTCTTTTCTTAAAGTCATGAGGACAAGGACCAGTATCAATGCCAGCATAATATCTAGAACATAGCATGTACTCAATAATTAATCAGTTGTTGAATTAATGAGTTATGTATCTCAATGGCAAAAAGACAACACCTTACATTTGAGACACTCTAAAGTTTTGGCATATGAAAACCATACACTATGCTCTCTTATGAAAGGATCCTTGATATGAATTCATTTCATATTTTTCAAATTAAAATCCTTTAAAATGACATTGAGAGAGGGACAACAGCTAAATTTTGTCTCACCCTTTCTTACATTTCTCTTACATTTCTGTTTTCTGACAGAATGGACTTATCAAATGACAACTAGATTCTAGAGTTACACACTTTTAGCACAAGGTAACGAACCCAAAAATTCAGTGTAACCACAGACTCTTCCTTTTACTCAGTTCTCCCAAAAAACTCTTCTAAAGAAATGGTATACGTGGGTTTCATCTCAAATATCAAAGAGTATTAACTTCCTTTCTCTAGGAGAAAATCCAAATAAGGGTGAAGAAATGCATTCATATGAATATGATGAAATGTCAGTTTGACCTTACTCTTATACCAGATATTACAGAAAGGCTTTCGCCTCCTAGACCAGCGGTTCTCAACCTGTGGGTCTCGACCCCTTTGGGGGTCGAATGACCCTTTCACAGGGGTCGCCCAAGACCATCGGAAAACACATATATAATTACATATTGTTTTTGTGACTAATCCCTATGCTTTAATTATGTTCAATTTGTAACAATGAAAATAAATCCTGCATATCAGATATTTACATTACGATTCATAACAATAGCAAAATTACAGTTATGAAGTAGCAACGAAAATAATTTTATGGTTGGGGGTCACCACAACATGAGGAACTGTATTAAAGGGTTGCGGCATTAGGAAGGTTGAGAACCACTGTCCTGGACTAACATTCAAAACTAAATAAATAAACCAAAGCACTTGTATGCATGCATATTGGCATGACCAATGGACACAGACACTGGGGTGGTGGGGGCTTGTCCTAAAGGGTGGGAGTGGTGGGGGGTCAATCAGGAGAAAAAGGAGACATATGTAATACTTGAAACAATTTATAAAAAAAAACACAATAACCACTAGCAAAAAAATAAACTAACTAAATAAATTTCTATATAAACTTTCTAAAAAATTAACAAATTCCCATTTGTCTTTGTTTATGCTAGCCTAAATTTAAAAAACAAAACAAAACACGAGACAACTATAGCAATTGTTAAATAAATCAATACACAGACACTATGTAGCAGTAAACCATAAATACTAATGAAATTCAATTACACCCATATTATAAAAGAACCACAGCTGTATAACAGTCACTCCCTGGCAGATGTCGTAAATCAGAGTGCCATGGCTTGAAAGCCAACGTGTTTTATTAGACCTTCTACAATACAGTAATCTCAGATCAGCTGTATTTGAGATGGGCAGTGACAAAGTTGGCATGGTCTTTCACGTAGGCATAAATTACACATTAGCACTGCCACTTTCATGTAGTCAGAATTATTATTAATAAACATTGATTGGATATCACCTACTTTCAAAATCACCCTTATTTTCTGTAGCTGAATGATTAATACTTCCTATGGCTAAACAAAAATACTGTACATTTTATCACATAACAAGCTACACTTTTGAATCATACTAAAAAAGCAAAATAAAGTCAGTATGTTCATTTCTAAAGCCATCACAGATTGGTTAAAGTGAATGAATATGTTGTGATATTGGATTCTTCAACAGGAATAAACATGTATTCTTTGATCTCCTCAAGAAGTACCCATGAAGAAAGGAGAAAGATAGAAGATAAACAAAGTAATGGAGGAATAGTAGCCTCCAGAAATGATCTCCATCATGTGACACATATTGCACTAGATATTTTATGTATTTTTATCTGATTTAATCTTCACAACAACCTTAAGAAAATTTACAAATGAGTACTCTGGGGTTTGGGGAAATTCTGCTAGTTGCCCAAGGTACACAACAAGCAGAAAAAAGGGGGGTTCAAAACCCCCTTTAACTAATTAATTAAACCCCTAAACAATTAATGAACAAATCCCCATTTGTCTTTGTTTATACTAACCTAAATTTAAAAGAAAAAAACCATGAGACAACTATTGAAATTCCTAAATAAATCAATACACTGACACTATTTAGCAGAAAACCATAAATACTATTGGAATCACCTACTTTCAAAGAAATGACATTTCTTCATATTCATTTGAATGCACTTCTTCCCCCTTATTTGGATTTTCTCCTAGAGAAAATATTTGAGTCCAACTCCAAAACCTATCCTGTTTTCAGGCTAGCTCTACTGTAAAGTCAGGGGCCACTTCTTCCCTTATTTCTCTTGCTTTCCACCAGAAGATCAATTATGTCAGTATGATGCAATCACAAATAATGATAACATATTGTGAGCATCTATTGAGTATTACATACCACACAGGACCTCATATGTATTATTCCACTAATGCCCATAACAAAATTGATTTGTACACAAAAAACTGAAGCTCAGAAGTTGAGGGACCTGTCCAAGGTCATTCAGCGACAAGTAGCAACACCAGAAATCCCTAGTCTGTGACACACAGCCCACAACACCCTTTACCTATGTACTATATAATTCCATCGTAAAACCTCAACTCCACAGCCTCCAAGACCTTAAAAATCCTTAACTAATCAGATCGATTTCATTGATTTTTGATTTTGCAAACACAACATCAAGAAAATATATGGATAACAAAGGTTCATTTTTCTGTAATGCTACTTGGAATAAATGTCTTGGGCTTAAATCATAATCACTTTAAATCTCTTTATCTCCTTTTACAGTATTCCAGAATGAGATAGGCTATTCAGAATCAAGACTTTCCATCAATACAATAATCAGTTATGTTTACTGCACTGTACTGTTTCCGAAAGGAAGTAAAATCTACTAGATCTTCGAAGGCATTTTAACAAGAGCCAGAATCAAAAGGAGTTTCACATCACTAAATCTCAGGAAGCTAGAAAATCCAATTAACTATACTGCCCCATTTGACAGCACTGCAGTTCATCTAAATGTTACTGATTGTCGATCAAAACCTTGAAATTATTTAAACATAAGGAATTTTTATATTAATGTCCTTGGTTTCTTACTGAGATTCAATTGCAATGAATTATTTAACAAAAAAACTGGAAGGGCTCCAACAGAGTCATTAGCATTAGTAAATATACAGTTAATGTGTTTTAGAACAGGGCTTAATGGACTGCAGACCGCCTCCGTGATGGTCCGGGTGGGGGGCTGACACATCCTCCTTAATAATGAGCACCAGCTCCACACCTTGTCCCCTTCACTCTTCTTACTTCCAAGCTTCATTTGAATGTACAGACTCTTCATAGGCATCCCTAGCTGTAAAAGTGAAACTGCAAATAGCCAGTGCATGTAATGCATAAAACCGGGACTAAATACTGGGTCCACACAGTAACTTTACAGTCATCTTGGGAAAGATTCGGTACCCCCATGTGAAGTTTTAAGTTAAAGGAAAACTAAATGTTGGCCCATGTTTTGTTTTACTGGGAGAAACTTTACATGTTTTCCAATGCACTTATATCATGATTTTTTAAATCAGTGGATAGAAGGATGACAACAATACTCATGTGCACTCCAGGTTTTTATTTTGAAGAAACGCTTGCTTAGTTCCCATTAACACTTTCATTAACGGGGATGACACGTTAAAAAAAAAAAGTGAAACGAAGGCTAGAAGTCTTCTTAGGATTTTTAGTGCTAGCATGATTTTCTTGCTGAAAGCAGTTAGCTGTCTAAATGAAAGTTATGTTAGGTGCCAGCCACTGTGTGAAGGTTTAAAGGGGTTTTCTATGGCCAACCCTAGAAATCTAGCAAACCCATTCCACGTGATACTGTTGTCACCCAGCTACAGTCTGTCACATGAATTTATTCTTAAATGTTCAAGCATTTCTCGGTCGGTTTTTATTTGTCGGTTGGTTGGCTGGTTTAAAAGACAATACTAGCCCTGGAGCTCTAACACATGGAAGAAGTTCTGGAGACATTCCTGAATGTCCTGGCAAGTTCACAGCGCGCATTTCCCTGCAGCAATGGGAAAATTCAGAGACCTCGGGACGGAACACCCAAATTTCGCTTTCGAGGACATGAGTCCGGAACAAAAGGTCCCCAGGTACCTGTCCCACTTCCCTTTAGGTTCGCTGTGTTAAACAATGCCAGGGCACAACGCAACGTCTCACCAATTTCCAAAGCCCGATTATTACCTAAACACCCCAAACCAACACCGCCTGCGCGCACAAAATAACAACTGACCCACGCAGCCGCCCAGTCCCCCAGCGGCGGGGGCAGGGGCGTCCCCTCGCCGGTCCCCCCGCGGGCGCGAAAGCCCGAGCGGTAGCAGCGAGGACGGGAAACCCAAATTGTAGGCGTACAATAACCCACAAATGAAACCCCAGACCCTGAAGGAAAGGGGTGTCGCCAGCCTCCCCCAGGTCCCGGACGTCGTTCCCTCCATCATTGGCGCGGAGCTCAGCGCACCCCACGCGAGCCAGGGCTGCCGAGGCAGCGCCGGTGCCAGAAGCGCGGGGCAGAAGGAGCGGACGCCGGGGGCGCCGGGCCAAGCGCCCGGGCAGCGCGCCACTCACCGATGCGACTGAAACTCTCCGACAAAGTTCTCCGCAACTTCTTCATCTTGCCGATCTTCTCGGCCGGCTGTGCTTCAATGAGGTCGCACATCTGGGCGACGCCGGGCCACGGCAACTTCCCCAAACTGGTCCAGAACGGAGCGCAGACAACGGCGAGA